GTATAGGACGCAAGCAGATTTTGACATCACATTTTGGGGTAAAAAAATGCGTCTTATACACCGAAAAATACAGTATTCTATACTTCAATATTTTTAAAATGTTTTCAAAAACTTGTTTTTCTCTTCAAATTACTGATATTATACATTGCCGTTCATGTTTTGCTTTGTACAGGTTTTCCTTAACTGTCACTGGTGAAGTTCTACCCGGCTCTTGGATATATTGCCCATCAATGACCCCTATCTATGCTTAGTGATGTATACTTTGTATAATAATGAATTAAAACTACATTACAGATAAATTATTATTTCATATAATTATTATAGTAACTTTTCATAATTAACTGAATAAATATCAGTACAAATACAAAATAAAAATAGTAGCTCACGAAAACTGTGTAGATTTGTTCTACCTTTGAACTGCCAGATTTTATAAAAACAACTGAATTGTTTGTCTTTGTTTTAATATCTCTCCTATAAGAATATGTCAATGACATAATATACCCAGTGTATTAAGAGTTTTTTCTTTGACTACTGACTGTTTCATTAATGCACTAAAATCTGTAAGGTCAAAATAACTTATTTAATGGAAATACCTGTGACCTAATTCTAAGAGGACAAGATGAAGCCTTATCCAAAGTTGTTTAGGCAAGAACTTAGCTACCATTTACATAAATCTATTATGGCTGCCTTCAAACTCCACAACAATTAATTGTAAACAAAAAAAGTGATTTATATAAAACAATGTTTACAAATAAAGAGTGGATATTGGCATGTTAAATATGTCAGAACTAACCTATATGTAATTTGTTTGGCACTAATGATAATTTACATTTTTTGCCATCAGTGTCCTATAAGCATCACTGAATCACATGAAATTCACTGTCTTTATTCAGCTTTTGTCTGTAAAATAAAATTTCCTGATGTTTACTGACCTTAAAATACAATATTCACTGACTTTTCCCAGTTTCCCCGATCCATGAGAACTATGTATTTAGTTTTTATGTCATGAAATTTACAGAAGTGTTGAGACACTTTTTTAAGAAAAAAAAAACACTACAAATACTTCTTTTCATGTTAGAATTTCAATTTTTGAATTGCTGATCAAAAAGTTCCATTTAATAAATCCAGTCAGTATGAACTTCCTTAGTATTTATCAACATATTTTATAATGCTTTATTTGCTGCTTCCAGCTACAAGTCATAAAAAACACTGTATAAACTGACAAACATTTATCAGTGACTTAACCTAAGACTTGACCTTTCAAAATGGTGTCTAGTCAGGCGAGATAAGTGTTGTTTTTTTTATTCTTCTAGGCAAAATCAATTTATGTCTAATAAACATACTTCGATTTCAAGTTCTTCTACATATGTACATTGTTTGAATATATTATTAAACAGTCAACACATAAGGATACAAGTCACCAGAATATTTAGATGTCACTGCCATACTCTTTTAACCAGGTAAGGCTTACCTAATATCTTGTTAGAGAAGACAACTGCTATAACTTCCAAAGAAACACAATTCCGCATAAAAGCATCTTACAGATTAAAAAGAATGACTAAAGAACCTATAAAAAACTTGCTGACCTGTGGTTTGTTTTTAAGACTTTTACACTTCCCACCAATTTCTGTTCTTCTCTGTAGGAGACACATATCATTGCTTTCTCACAAAACCATAAATGGCTTTTCAGATCACTATTTCCTTTACATTGACATTAATAGTTCATAATACATTGTATTCAATGGTAGTTAAACTTTGCTTATAGCTATCTTAAAAGCTGATGAAACTTTGATGAATGGATGGCAACTGCCTGTTGTAGAAACACAAGTGTAGAGGATGATGTTTAGGAAGTTTTCCGGTTTTCGTCTTCAGGTCAGTGTGTGTATAGTGTAGTCAGTCTTTATAGTATTCTGGTGGATTGTGGAGAGCATCCGACTATAAAAATTGACTACACCCTACACACACTGACCTGAAGGCAGAAGACTTTTGAAATGTAATCCTCTACACTTGTGTTTCTACAACAGGCAGTTGTCATCCATTCAACAAAGTTTCATCATGAATACTCTGCCTAAACAATCTATCAAAGAATCTTCAAAGCTGTTCTTCATTAGTAGTTATTACAATCTCACAGCATATGATTTAATTGGAGGCCTATAATGATAGATCATTAACCAGATAAAGAAAATCACAAGCAAAACAAGACTTAGTTAATTGTATTCTCAAGAAATGATAGTTTTTTTTTTTAGCAAATATGAACCTATGCTTTAAGATGGATAGACAAATTCTAAAAAAATTTATAAATACATTGTTTACAAGTGAGACTCCTTAGAGTTGTGCAGAAATGTAAATATGAACACTTATCTTTAAGAATTACATTAAATACATGTTGAATTTGATAAAATATTAGTTCTAAAGTATTTTTGAGTAAAATTGTTGAAATACAGTTAAAATTATTATCTTTACTTATCTTTCAAAACATGACATGCAGGTGTGCACTTGACAACTGAAACATACTCACAGGTCCAAAATAAGAAGTCACCTTAAAAATGCAGAATTTGTTCAACTACTCAGAGATATTTTAGAAATTTTGATCCTTGGCACTAAATAACAAATTTAAAAGCATTTTACAAATGAAATTATGTATCAGAGTTAATGATGGTTTGATTCATTGCTGCACATCTACTATGCATAAGGAAAAGGAATATTAAAAGAATTGTTTTAAAAATTAATTCACGCCTCCTCCTACACCTTCATATATTTCTATTTTCTTGTTTCCAAAAAAGTAAAAATCACATTAAAACAATGTTCTGAAGAGCTACATACATAACTGTTTTTTGTATTTTTTAGTACTAGAAATAGAGGATGTGAAAAAAAAATTAATAATGAGTAACAATAATAAAAGAACACAATACTGTGTGTAGCAAATAAACTGATGTTGGAGAAAACTGTTTCAATACATTTTCAGTATCATGTTGTCAGAAGAAAATGAGATACTGAAGAGAACACAAAAACATGTCAAAACTAGTTTCTGCAATATCAAGACTTCTGAAAGTTTGTTCCATTTACTGTAGTTTTTCACCAACTGAATAACAAGATCCAAAAATTACAAGTTCATAATTTATGGTGAATAATGTTGAAGGTGTCATTTTTCTTTTACCTGTTTATCTTAAAAGAAATCTGACTGGTTTTAACTTCAATAAAGAAAAAAATCAATATTTGGGAAGGTGGAATATAGCCTCCATTTATGCACAAGACTACTTAACCTGAAAACTATATGCTTAAATTATGATGAGAAGTGTAAGTAATTATAAAAATACTAACCCTATTCTTTCCTCCTTTTGTAAGAAGACGAGTAGGTGATACTTTGTCACCTTTTTGATTGGAACCATTGTGATGCACATTATCAGAATGAGAAATATGACGCACCTCAAGTGGTTGGACCCTGTGGACATAACGATATCCATCTCCGATGGAACCACTGCTATCAGATTCAAGAGCCTGTTGAAGATCTCTTGAATCTATGATTGGATGTCCTATGGAAGCAGCATCACTTGTGCTTGTCATAAGGGAGTTCTCACAGCCAAGCTCTACATTTTTGCGAGATCGTCTACCAGAATGATCAACTAGGGTTTGGACACGAGCATGGAAAGCATGTTGGTGTGGAACTACACCATGCTGAGAGGATGGTTCCGACGTCAGGTGAAATGGCTGACAGTGTTCAGCCTTTCCTGGTGAGTAAACATCACCAAAAGGATCTTTTTCAACTCTGGCAAAGAGAGAAGTAGCACGACGTTCCTGTTTCATTACATTATCTTCTTTTCTTAAATCTAACTCCATTAAAACTTCTGGTCGAGTTGGGCAAAGTTCCTCCTTCCTGTGAAAAAACACACCATATAACTTAAGAATATTGCTTATAAGCAAAAACATAATAAAATAATTATTTTCTTACTAACTTAGTAAAAATATAAATTAATAAGTATATGTATCAGATCAGCATAGAAAATATCGGTTTAATCATACACAAATGGAAAAAAACCAAACTATTTTTAATCTAAAATGCTTATTTCAGTATAGGTGTTTAATCTGCAAATGAAACTGGCTGTATTATTAAGTATGGTAGTACTTAATAGTAGAGATCGTGATGAAACAAAATGGCAGCCATAAAAATTGCCCATTAAAACCACCTTTAAAATGTCTGAATATTGACAATGACTGTTTCATGGTATTGGCTGAGCAAAACTAAAGCTTATTGTAGTTATAAAGCCGCCTTAATCACTATATATGTGTTTATGGAGTGAATCAAAAATTTCACTATTTCAACGAATTTTCATTAAGTAAGCAAGTGACTTTCCCAGACAAGCGTACAGAAAAAATAACAAATCTTATCATTCTTTATTATTTTACATAACTCTTTTATCTGGAGTCATCACAATGATTCCTTTCTTGTACCAAAAATGATACAATATATATGTAGACAACATGGACAATGTGCTATTTTTGGCATATAATTAGATTTTAGGATAGGTTAATAGAGATCCTAATGAATAATAAAATCGAATCGGTTATATGCTCGCCCCATGCTTGGTATTGCTGGTAGACAAAAATATAGCTAATAAAAAGTAAACAAACAACTACAATAAAAATTATTAAATTTTATAAGAACATGTAGGGATATATATATATATATATATATATATATATGTGTGTGTGTGTGTGTGTGTGTGTGTGTGTGTGTGTGTGTGTGTGTGTGTGTGTGTGTGTGTGTGTGTGTGTGTGTGTGTGTGTGTGTGTGTGTGTGTGTGT